AATATGACAGCGCTTCTGCTAATCTCAGAAACAATAATAAACAGCAGCGCGCACCAGAATAGCCGGTGCAACTATGCGTTTTGAGCAATTCCGTTCACCGAACGATTGCCTGTTAATGATTTTCACTGCTTTGCACTTTGGTCTGTGCAAAAATAGTTGAGATTTTGAAAAATAGCTAAAAATTTCAAACATCGGCACGTGAAAGCGGAATCTGAAACCTTAAAGGGTGAATATCTTTCCAAAATTTCAGTCTCCTGATTTTCTGGCTTTTGAATAACATTTGAGACAAAACTTTTACATGGTTGTACTTGAGACTTCGGCATACTTAGGAAGTGAATTCGAGTTTTAAGCCCATGCTTAGGTAGGAAACATTTTCTTGAAATTTTTAGCCCCTTAATCTTTTGGCTCCTGAGATAATGAATTTTCTCGCCAAAACTTTCGCTGGAAATCTGCGCAGTTTTAAAGGAAATGCCACGCTAAAATTTCAGCTCCCTAGCTTTTGCAGTTCACGAGATTATAATTTACCTACAAAAACTTTCCCGGCGCCATATGTGGTATCAAGGGGCGCGTGAAAGCTGAATCCAAATTTGCGGGGATCGCACGTTGATAGGAGACATCGCCCTGAAATTTTAGGTTTCCAACTTTCGTGGTTCCCGAGATAATAATTTTCTCGCCGAAACTTTCACGTATGTGATATCTGGGCGAGCGAGGACGCTGAATTTGAATTTTCAAAATCGTACGTAGGCAGGGGTTATTACTCTAAAGCCTCGGATTTCTACGCTTCGTAGTTCCCGAGATAATAATTTCCTCGCTAAAACTTTTTACGGGGTCATACGTGTTACCCACCGGTAGGGGAAGGCCGAATTTAAATTTGCGGGGTCGTACGTGGGCGAGAAACATTCGTCTAAATTTTCAACCTTTTAGCTTTTGTGGTTCCCGAGTTGAAAGTTGCGACAAGTTGCTGCGGATATACACACACACACACACACAAACAAACAGACATTTTCTACTGCTGTTATACAGTACAAAAGGCACAAAAAGTGATGTCCGGGAAAAAAGAAGGAAAAGAGAAAGACGACAGTTGAAGAGTGTTGACAGTTGAGACAGGAAGTCTATGCAAAGTCACGAACAAAACGGTTCCCTCACACGCAAGTTTTATATTCAGAGACTGAAAACGATTGAAGGAGCCAAGGTGAAAGCGTCTGAGGCAACTGGTGTTGTGCAGGGACATAAATGTGAAACATATGTCTCTGATTCATCTCGAAAAAAAAGATTCATCTCGAACATATTTCTCTGATTCATCTCGAAAAAAAAGATTCATCTCGAACATATTTCTCTGATTCATCTCGGCATTCACCGATGGTGTATTAGATTTTCATTCATAACATATTCATATATGCACAAACACGGGAAAGTTCTTGCTAGTTCAAGAAAGACATAGGACTTCAAAATATTACTTAAGAAGAGGAAAGAGACCGCCCGAGAATGAATCCGCTAAGCTCTAATTCTCAGTAAATCAAAAAAAAGTGATTAATCAATTTCTGATACTAAACCCTTCAGCACTGTCACTGAGATTATGACAAAAACACTTCTCAAAAATAACGACTCACATTCTGCAACTCCTCCTCA